GTTAGTGCAGTGCACAACACAACACAGCTGTGCTTCTTTGAGGTGTTTACCAAGTGACCCAAAGAGTGACTTCAGCATAGGAGGGTTAACAGACTCTTCTTCTATTGCACAGAATGCTGATGGTCAGTTCATCCTGACCTTCACCTACCGTTTTGAGTACCGTTTCTCCTCCGTCTACTTTGCCTTCTGTTACCCGTATTCCTACCTCGAGTGCCAACAGAGGATGGATGAATTGGACACCCAGTTTACCCAATGCCAAAACCTCTCGCCATCAAGGTAACACACAGCATACACAGAGCTTGTGTGTACAGGTTTGCGCACATATGGCATGGAGCTTGCTTGACCAATTTTCACCAGAATGTGCAGTCTTCACTTAAGCGCCTGGTGCCCTGTTTGATTAACCAATCCAGCCTCTCTTTTCCTTACCAATGAAAGGGGCACCTATTCATGGAGAACACTTGAACAATGAGCCTTGAGCAAAGTAACGTGAGGTCGAGCTTTGCCTTCCTGTTGCCTACAAATTCAATCAAACTAAGGCAAAGTGGGGAATTTGGGGAAGTTAGGATTTGAGAAATTCCATCATTTCAAAATCAGGGAGTGACTCATTCATTTTGCGTTTGCCCAAGAGAAGACACGTTTGTTGCTAAGGAATGACGTCCCGTAAGGCCAACACACTGTGTACATGTAGTTGTACTGGCCTGTGTCTGGTGCTTTGCATGCTCAGGTCATTGTTTGACTACTGGGCACACGGCAGAATTAGCTTGAGTCTCCCCAGCCTCTCCTTTTTTCACCGTTGAGGGTGCACTTGTGCACCAAACCCACAGAGTAATGCCAAGTTTTAATGCAGTCCCTAAAACTCTCTTGAATATTTCAGCCCCGTCAACTCCATTTACTACCACCGGGAGCTGCTCTGCTACTCGCTGGACAGGCTGCGCGTAGACCTCATGACCATCACCTCGTGCCACGGACTGACCAGTGAGAGAGAGCCACGGCTACCCAAGCTGTTTCCGGACCAGTCCTTGCCACGCGCTCACAAGTTCCGAGGCAAGAGGGTGAGTAGAACCCCTAACACGATTTGTTAACTGAAAATGACATCTGTTTGGCTCGTTGTGTGTATTGGGCTTGCTGTGTACGTGCCACACAGAGCAAAACTTGGACATCACTTGGCAAGTTCAAGCGACTGCTGCGGTCCACAATATTTTGACTAACACGGCCCAAACGATGGATGGTTTGGTCTATTTAGTTGACCGTTTGGGACCAGGCCCAGGGGTACGGTTGCACTGCTGGTCATCAATAACGAATTTTATTTATCATCACTGAGGGAACCATTCACATAAAAATAATATTTTTGAGATGTCAATGACCACGCACTGTGAAATGTTAGTAACGATGAGATTTTGAAACAGAGGCTAACTATACAGTCATTCGAGTATAACTGAATTACACATTTGCATTGTTAAAATCATCTGACTACTGGTTGAACTATAGTTCACGCCCGAACTTGTCCACTCTGTACACTTGCAGTTATCCAGAATGAGCAACTGCCTCATTGTGTGTATGACAACATAGGTTCTTGAGCGTTGGTATGTTGATGGATATATGTGCTTTATAAATATTATAGCGCAAACTACTGTTTGTTTTTTATATTCTGTTGGTTGTATGTGTTTTTTAGGAGACTACACTTACCTTAAATCTGAGATGCAGACTAAGAAGGTTTACACGCAGTGTCATTCACCCACCTACATGAACTAGAATATCTATAGGCTTTATTCACAAACATGAAACGTAACAGTGGAAATTTGATAGGGCAGATCTAAGTATAACCAAAATATGTCATCTGTAGCACCATAGGAACCAACCACTGAAGATGTTCATATTTTGTCTGATCTGAAACCAGTGTATCGAAGTGTCAAGAGGTATGTTTGTACTTGCAAAAACTTTTCCATTTCCAGGTATTTGTTCTAACCAGTCGAGTTCACCCGGGAGAGACACCGGCAAGCTTCGTCTTCAATGGCTTCCTGGAGTTCATCCTGCGGCCCAAAGACCCCCGGGCCGTCCAGCTGCGGAGGCAGTACGTCTTTAAGCTGATCCCGCTCCTCAACCCCGACGGGGTGCAGCGCGGCCACTACCGGACGGACCAGCGGGGGGTGAACCTGAACCGTGTGTACCTCGACCCGGACTTTGCCGTCTACCCGTCCATATTTGCCGCCAAGAGCCTTATCCTGCACCACCACATGAGCTCCAGGGTGATCGCGAGTCCGAGCCCGAGAAAGGCCGACTTGAAGCCTGTGGTGGGGCGAAGCGAAAAGGGTGAGGGAGAGGGCGTTGTGGCAGTTGTAGCCCCCAGTGTTGAGGTGCAACATTCTCCAGCAAACGCTATAGTTGTTGTCCATGAAGGATCCGGGGAAGCTGCTGAGCTGAACACTGAATGCCAAACGGACAGCACGATGGACCATCTCCATGTGAAACCGGACAGGGATGTTGTAACTGATAACCAACAAGGTCAAGCAGAGCTGTTGGATACCAGCCGGCTGGATTCTAACACTGCTGCCATGACCGCGGAACGATTGGACAGCAAAAGCTTTATGGAGAGCGAGACACGGTCGCACATTTCCTCCGTTGCCAAGGAGAGCTCCGTGGATGGCGATTCAGGAGGCGAAGATGACGAAGACAGAACCTTCCAACGAGCTCCTCAGGACGGGGTCACAAAGCCAGACCCAACCCCAGCAGCTGACGAAACCGGCTTGAACATCTCGCCCAGCGAGAGCGGAGTGGCGCTCTACATGGACCTCCACGGCCACGCCTCCAAGCGGGGTTGCTTCGTGTACGGCAATCACTTCGAGGACGAGGAGAGGCACGTGGACAATCTCCTCTTCCCCAAGCTGATCGCCATGAACTCAGCCCATTTCGACTTCGACGGGTGCAACTTCACGGAAAAGAACATGTACACCAAGGACAAGCGAGACGGCATGTCCAAGGAAGGGAGCGGGCGTGTTGCTGTACACAAAGCCACTGGGATTATACACAGGTTAGTTTTGCGTGGATATCGCTAATTTCCCATTGCGATCAGTAACATTTCAATTCCAAGGTTTGCAGACATGTGAATGTGTCTTACGTGTGAGCGAGGCTCTGAAGCGAGCTGGTGCACTGAGTGTCGAAGACAGAATGCTCGGTTCATCAAAACCTTGCTATTTTCATCAGGCAAATTTTCAAATCACACATAAATTCCAGATCAAGTTGTCGTTGTTTAAGAGCACCCATATTAAAAACATGGGTGAGCGAAGTGTCCTTCATAATTCGGTGTTTGATAAGGTGATTGTTGCAAAGTTTACACAGGAAAGGAAAAAATTATGTTTTCTGTCCATTATGCTTCCATTTGGAGGTAGACTTTAAAAATACTGTCTAGACAATTGCTGCTTTAAAATTCAAAAATAAAAACTCACTCAACTTTTCAACCTGGCTTTAATTAGGAAAACCACCCAATTCATCAGCAATATATTTATCAACAAACAGGTTTTCACATAATTTCAATAGCCTTCGATGTGAGGCTGATTGAGTGACTTGTAATCTTTTTTTTGACTTTCCCATCGCTCGTTGCCAGTTATACCTTGGAGTGCAACTACAACTCCGGCCGTTTTGTCAACTCCCTCTCCCCAGCGACCATGGACGACGGCCGCGCCACCCCGCCGCCCCTCGCCGGCTACCCACCCAAGTACACCCCTGCACACTTCGAAGAGGTACAGTAAATTAAAAAAAAAAACGTGGTTTAAGGGTATGTTGTTGTCCCCATGATGTCAGATCTGGATATCTTCCCACAAAGTCCTCTCATCCTAAACGTCTTCTATCCGTGTGTGCTCATGAGAGTTGTTGACTTGAAAAGCCGACTGGGATTTAAGTCGGACTTGAGTCTTTTTTTACTTTAGACCTGAATTTGGAGACTTTGACTTGTGACTGGACTTGGACAGATAGGACTTGTTCACATTACCAATCTCTGCTGAACTGGGCAAGAAACAAGCACCTGCATCTATGATTTTCCATGTACAAAACCTCAACTTGTCTGTTTTGGTTTCAATGACATGTTTTACTGGAAACATTCATGAGTATATAAGGATGGAAAAATTTAAGCAGACCTCTTTTTCAGACCTCTCAAGACCTTTACAAGATCTTACTCTACTAGCACAAGACCTCCACTCTGAATGCAGGTCACAAGCCATTTGATTAAACTGCAGTGTATGACAAGATAAGCATTCCTTAGCCATGTTAGACCCTGGTACTCGTTACTGGTTTTGTCAGTGGTTTTGCGATGGTTTCTACGAGTCAGCAAATAGGAACTTACTGTATACTTCATGATACTTAAGTATCAAGTGTGACTACTTTATTGATTACACAATCTCTGTGATGATGCTGGCCAAACATTTTACAATGATCGTTTCTGGTTCTAAAAAACAGGAAAAAAAGATATGACTGGCTGGAAAGTCTTTCGTAGCTTCGTAGCTTGGGCCTGACTGTTACATATCGGTCCTAATTTGTGTTTTTTTTTCCTTGGAAGGTTGGCCGTGCAGTTGCCGTAGCAGCCCTGGACCTCACGAACACCAACCCCTGGTCACGACTGGCATCCACCGAGTACAGCAATGTCATGGGCGTACGGGCCTGGGTCCAGCGGTACATTCGGAGCATGCGCGGGGCTCCCTCGCTCCCCAAGAAGATGGCAAGAGTAGCCTCCAAGACCTCTAGGTGAGCTATCAAGACTCGAGTCTTTTTTTTTTTCTCAGAGCGTTGGTTTCAATTTACATTACAGAGTGCAAAATAAGTTGATACAAGTACATCTTGACATTGCTTTAATGTAGGTGAAGATTGTAAGAGCTCCATTTAAAAAAAACAGGAGATTTATGTAATATTGAAGTTTTGTAGCAATGCTTGCTGAGTAAATCACAGAGGGATCGTCTCTTGTAAACTTGGAGTGGAATTTCTGGCAACACTCTATTTGTGACTGGATTCCACAAAATGAACTGCAAGGCCCTTTTTTTTTGTAAGTTGGAAAGAGCAAACTGAGTTATTAGCTTCAATGGTGCCACTCAGTTTGACATTCTGACAAAAGGGGATGTTTGTGTTGGTGGGAAATAGCAAGGCTGGCAAGGCTGAGCTCCCGTTGATTTACACTGTGTAAGAGTCACTCAAAAACAGCTTCTGGCGAGTTATAACTCATTCGATTGGGTTGGATCACATATATGGGATTGATAGTTTGCCAGGGTAACTTGAGTTCCTGTCCAATCGGGTGCTTGGTAGCCGGGTTGGTAAAGCACTGGAACTGTGATCTGATGGAGTCTGGTTCAAATTCTGCTACAGTCAATGTACAGTCATGTACACTTAAAGGAAAGGTAAATTTATCCGAAAAAAAATGGCACTGGAATAGGTTAAATGATGCCTTGCTTGATTTTTTTCTCCATCTAGCATAGTTGCAAGTGCCACTGCCAATGCACTCCACAACCGGCCGCGATTCTCCTGGAGCGATACAGCGACGAGTCAGACGCCCTCTGGACCTCAAAATAATCCAGTTTCATCATCGGTGTCGGCGACGACCACAACGGCTGCCAAGAAAACAGCGACGCGCCATCTTGGACCAGTCAGAGGTTCGTATGATTTTTGCAAATTCATTTTTATAAAGTGATGACGTGGTTAAGTCTGTAGCCTCTTTCTTATCAATCAGTCAATGACGGTTTATTAAAATATCCGCCTTTAGCAACACAAGGCCGAATTGCTGGTGAATTTACAGCATCAAGGGAGTTTAAAAAGATAAATAGAACATAAACTTATATCGTTCAAATGAATGAGAAAGCCATCTTTAGTTTTTTTTAGATGCACCAAAATAGAATAGGCAATAATATCAATTTTTCTTTTCAATGTTTCCAGGAAGATCAGTTAAATTAATATGTTGAAAATGTTCGATCAAGCTTTATGGGAGGGCACTGTACTTCTTCAGAATGTTAAAAGAGAGAACATTTTTTTATAATGTCTAGTGAAGCTTGTACAATATCACTGATTCCCAACCTCAAAATACTGTCCAGACACATTGTTGTGTAGGGCGTACATGAGTTTCTTTTATGTCCTGGACTTGACCTGCCACTGAACTCTAGATGGATACTGTTATCATTATTACTATCGAAGGTATACCAATTGCCTTTTATCACTAAATTCCCCTTATCCGTACTCTCAATTTCTCTACTCTTCGGACTGTCTCGTTACATCCTTTCACTGTCGGCATTCTAATGGCCAGTACTGTGAGATATTCAAGATTCATTGGGCTTGCCTTTGGAATAGTGTACTTTGACAGTTTGTCTGCATTTAAACCTCCTGTAATGATCATGTGTTCTTTGAATTTTGCAGAAACAAAAGCAACACTTGAAAGGAAGAAGCACTTGCAACAACTGCAGGGGTCAAAGTTGGCATCAGCCTCCATTCCAGCCTTCGGTAGCACCACCCTGAGGTCATACCCCCTCCCGAACCAGGGTCGACAAGCCCTCCCAAACCCCACAACGTCGCACCACTCTAGCACCCCTCAGGTCACCGCGGGCTCGACAAGCAGTCTCAAGCCACACAAGACGAGCCTGCAGTCACAGAGCAGCCTGTTGCAAGGGGTGCCGCACCCCCACGTTCATGGGGTGACAAACCCGGTGACGCACGGGATGCCCCCACCCATCAGACATGGAGTGACGCTCCCGGGCACGCTCAAAGGCAAGCCCCAGAGGCCGAGCGAAGATATGCAGTCAACGCCAAATGTCGTCCACGAGTTACTCAGCAATGTGATGATAAAAGCACTGGAAGAGTCCATGATGGCACAAACGAGGGGTGTATCGAAGGTTTCTTGCGTGAGTATTCATTGATAGGGAAAGTTTCACTCCAGAAACGATATCCTGAAGTTGTTCCTTGTCACATTTCTTTCAAGTAAAAAACATCTCTTCTCAAAAATGCACAGGCTCTATAGCTCAGAAAGACTCAAGAAACCTTCGGAAGTAAAGCAATGAAGAAATTCTCAGTTAATAGTCAGAGAAAAGACAAAAACCCAAGCAAGGAGTTGAGTACTAGTGTGTGCACTTAAGGACAGTGGACAGTTGATAACGGCGTGTGCCCGGCAGGAGGGCGTAAGCGCTAAGGCCCTTTTGCCGGGAAGCATGATCAATGCTAAAAAATGTTCCCAGCAAAAGGACGAAAGTATTCAACTATTGTATGTTAATGAAATATGAAGATTTCTTGGCAAAAGTAAAAAAAAATGCCCAAGTCCTTTAATAAGTTGTTCAAAGGTTGCTTTTTGTACAGCCCAAGTTGATTTTGTAGTAAATTATATCCGTTTTTACTAAATAAAGAGAGTATGTTTCTTACGCCCTTCTGCCGGGAACATTTTTTCTGCTGTGATCATGCTTCCCGGCGAAAGGGCGTAAGCGCGCTTATGCCCTTCTGCCGGGCACCTGACGATAATGTCTGAGCAGCATTGGTTCAGAATTTGCAGTGTTTTGAGTATAGGAAGACAAAGTGGGTTTTCAGATAGCAGGTTTCTGAATGCAGGTTCACTTCAGAGTACCAGTGACTTTGCTTGTTTTTTTCCTGAAGTTTCAAAATTTGTTTGGCAGAAGTACATGTACAGTGTATTTTCCTAGCTGCAGCTCCATTCAGTAGTCCCGATCCATTAAGCTCCACTTCTGTGTTTTTTTTACCATTCACGGCCGTGATTTACAGAACCAAAATGTCCCACAAAATGTCTGGTGTGCATCTACCCATCGAGTGTGGATCTGTACAGTGGGGTACTGGAGAGGCATGCTTAAGTGCTCAGTGGGCAGAATTTTCAAAACCCTCATTTTACCTGGAACGCTCCTGAGTCTTCCACATTCCTTTACTGTGCAGGAAACCTATGAGGCATCCTTTGGAACTGAGACTTTCAAGGAGCCTCAAGTCCCATATAAAGTAATGGTGACTGGGCTGTACCTTCCTCAGCCCTCAGGAATCTACCAAAACCTCTTGGTGGAGTTTGCAAGGACTTGAAGGATTGGGATTAATGGATTGATCTATTGCGTCTCAGCATTAAAGGCCAGGGGTGCGTTCCACTCAGGCAAACAGTGCGAACGTTGCGTGTTTTACACACACGTTTTCAAACCGGAACGCGTGTGGCGTCAAGTATATACACAGCATTAGCAAACTTTGGCAAACGCTCAAGAAAAGGTGTAGCGAATGTTAGCTAACTGCCAAAATGGATGAAAGCGGGGACAAAGTGATGGTTATATCTCTTCAATCCGGCCTGAAATTCAACCTGAATGAACGAAAGTTTGGCAAATCGAATTATATGTGGAAAGCAACAAAATTATAGTTCAGCTTGATTATAAAATGTTTATGGTCTGAGTTGGTAAATAAAATGGTATGATTTCTTTTATAGCAGACGACATTTTCTCCCACACAACTCACACACGATCCAACAACCTTCACTCTTAACTTCCGCTTTGGCTAAAACTAATTTCTCAATTATATTGGAAACCAAATCAGGAACATTATGACAGTCGCCAAGTGTGATAAATTCCACAAAATTTTGGCTGCTCCAAGTAAGAAAACGCTGCAGTCTTCTGCCATGCTTATCACCAGCGGCGAATATACATGTAAAACTTTTGTAAATGGTGCGTTCCTGTCCGTGTTGTTAGCATTGCTCAAATGCTAGCGTAAGTGGAATGCACCCCATGTCTGAATTTTGGGGGGCTACGGCTACAGAATGAGCACGCATCTATGGAGAGTAGTTGCAGTAGCTGGCTATCAGCTTCCATAGGTGCAGGTATGTTGCTAGCCGTAGCCGTTATTTTTGGACAGTGCAACTAACCCTCTTGTGCTTTGCTTTGCATTGCTTGCTTGGTCTGTGCAGGTCTCGCTCTCCCCCCTGCCGTCCCCTTCCCTGGAAGCCCCTCCCCCCTCGCATGCCCAGGCCGCTAATGCTGCCCAGTCTGACTCCAGCAACCGCACGGCAATGCCCATCCCCACCCTGGTAAGCAATCCCCGCCAAGCCGATCAACAAAGATATCTGCTTAGCTTGTTTTACCTCTAAGCAGCATGCCCTTTAAACATCCGACAAAAAGGGGGATGTTCCAACATTTCAGCTTTGTTATGTTTTAGGCTTTGTTTAACCATTTCAAAACCACCTAGGCCCATAATGTTCCTCCTTGGTCATTGGCAATATGGTAAATGTTTTCCTTAAAAAACCTACAGAATCACAATTACGCAAATAAAAAATTGACATTTTGACTCTTGCCCGATTCTATATTCACTATTCACCTTTTTGATACAGAGTTTTTGAATCAGTCAAAATTTAGCTTGCTTCTGTGGCATCCTTCAAACCGAGAAATCTGACTTCAGGGGGAAACACCATTCTCACTGACACTATTCAAGGAAAACTGCATTCTTTTGAGAAATGTTTGGAAACAGATAACGCTTCTGTAAGGAAGCCGTTTTGGTAAAACTGAACTTGAGGTCCATAAGTACTTGTATGGGACATGCATGTGGCTTGGCAGGAATTTCATTTTTGCACATATTTATTTTGCTTGTAAAGCTTTTTAACTGCTTGGAGCAGGTTGTTACTGTGTTAACCTCATTGTCAATTTAAATGCTGAAGTTTGGATGTATTAACCCCTTAACGCTGGGATTCTTTTGACCGTGACTCCTGGGCTGTGTTACGCCCAGTATGCAAAGCCCTGTCCAGCCGCAGGCCCACATTGAAACTGCAGCTGCATGGTGAATGGAATGAATGTGTGGTATGCACTAATCCTTTTAATTATTTTGGGTCTTTGTAAATAGTTGTTCTAATGGGTATTTTTTTTTAAATATTGTTCAGCACTCCTGAACATTTTTTATGAAATGAGTGCTATATAAATTGAATTTAATAATGATAATAATAATCCTTACACAAAGCCGCAGCTCTCCTGGTGTGAAGGGGTAAATACCTGTGGCAAGACCTGATCATCTGGCTGCGTATTACTTGCTGGCTCATGTAGTCTGTAAATGCTGGAAAGTTAAGACCGCAGAGTTGACCCGAACAGGACATTTGAAGCAAGATATGGGACGGAGAGAATCCCCTGCCTTTGTGTTGGTCATTGTTTGATCGGAATCTCAGGAATTCTTTACAGACTTCTAGGGGGGATGTGTTGGGTAACAATAGTCTACAGTGTGTATAGGGATTGGACAGGTAAGGGGGGGTACCCCTTCGACCCATATCTCGCCTGGTATAGAACAGGATCCTTGCGGAACCTTTAATGAAATCAAATCACAACGTTACGGCTATGTCTCAAGTTACTGGCTACGTCTGGACATAACGTGTACCAGTGGAAGCTGAAGCCAGAGCCATGTCCAGTGGACTTGTGTGTTATTACCAACTGTTGATAATTAATTTAGGAATGGTCGATCGTTCAAAAAAGAAATTAATTACAGATGAATGTATTCAAATTTGCTTTTGCTGCAGAATCTACAGTTTAGTGTAAGAGCTGTTGCGTGTCTGCTCAATGGAAGTAACTGTTTCTTGTTTGTACATTCTAAAAACTCCCGGGTCAGATTAACCCAGAATTTAGTCCCATTCAGCATGACCCTTTTCTGGTTTAAATTATGACCCAGAAAGGGTCAAATACACTGTATGACCCAGAAAGGGTCAAATGTGACCCGAAATGAGGTCATATTTTGACCCAGAAATGGGTCATGCCTATTTGACCCTTTCTGGGTCATAATTTGACCCAGAAAAGGGTCATGCGGAATGGGACCCAATTCTGGGTCAGTCTGACCCGGGAGTTTTTAGAGTGTAGTGAGCATGTGCATGTACGTGTATGTGAGAAATGTACAGATACACTGGTACACGTATATTGTGGCCTGTAGGAAGTCTTCAACCTGTATGGGGGGTTGCTGCCAAGCATCATTCTTCGGACAATGCAGAATACATGATTTTGATTCCCCCTTGCGGAACTCTTTTTGTTGGAGGCATTGGTTCCAGGGCCAATCTTCAGACATTGTAAAATATGGGACACTGAGGCACTGTCTGTTGGGATGAGCCAGTTTGCTATTAAAAATGCAAGGCCATTTATAAATTAAGCACCTGACATTACGCCAGTTCAATGTGCGTGTGTATAGAGGGGCTTCTGGGGTACTAGAACAATGGGAAGTACCCCATAGGGTACTTGTGGGGTACTGAGATGGTACCCGACAAGGATTTCACAAAATAGATATTTCAAATTTACTCAAAAAGGAGGAATTTTCAAGTGCCATTCATCTGTCACCACAAAATGAAGTATTTTAAATAAGGGACATTCAGTGGAATTTCCAAAGTAGGAAAGTGAATCTGGTTCAAATGGGAGTGATTTGAAAATGTTTGCATGTTGTGTGGGAGTTTTGTTCACGAGAACAAAGGGAATACCCCACAAGTATAGCTGTGTAAGGTTGTATGTGTCAGTTGGTGGTTGGTTCGATCTTACGCATTTGTACTGATGTGCTTAACGGACTTTGGTTCATTCTGAGCATGCAGTGTTGGAATACCCAAGTGGCTCCTCCAGACTGTAAACCATCCCCAGGTCTGTGTTGAATTCAGCTGACTATAGCCAGTCTTACATGTACTCTGAGTGTGACCCAGTATTGACACGTGGAAACAAATTCAAGTTACATGTACATGTACACGTACATGTTGTTTTTGTGGGCGTCTTTGCTATTGTGATGAATTGTTTAAATAAACCTTTTCGACGTTCGCAATGCATTATGGGTTTGGATGATAAACAAGCAATGCATTTTATGCACAACCCTATGGGGCAAGTGAACCAGCCAGAAATCAATTTACAGTTTTCTACGACATATTTTTTATGTATCTGCTCATCAACTCACAGATGCATGCGTATTATCAGATTATACAAGAACGATTTTCAAATACGTTTTCAAATGTTTGTAAGAAGAAGAAATCACTCTTAATTGTCTTTTTTAAGGGCACCAGTCACTCTGTAGGCTGAAAATGAATGTAACTGGTCAGTGTGGGATAAATTAGCTGCAAGTCTTGATTTTGATTGGACAAGACTAGGCATAAATATTCACGATCTTAGTCAAAGTCCATGACAAAAAGTGGTGTTGTTGGAAGGGATTCTCCAAATTTTCCTTTTCTGCCAAGCTTTAAACTTTGAAGTTTGTGAATATCTTCGTCCCAAATAAAAAATGCAACACTTTGTCAGAAGGGGATGGCTTGAATTGGAGTATGAAATAAAATGGAAACAGATTAACGTTTTGCAGGTACACTTCTCCCATAGGGTTGTGCATAAAATGCATTGCTTGTTTGTCATCCAAACCCATCATGCATTGCGAACGTCGAAAAGGTTTATTGAAAGCTTTGAATCTGCATCACTCCTGTATGTCAAAGTTTTTGCCTAGGGTAATTGTGTCAGAGCGATCGAGCTACGTAGCCCTTTTTTTCATGACATTGCTTGCATGTCTTCATTGTAATTTCCCGCAATTTTTCCAGTGACTATTGTGATGTAAATTGAGTTTTGATACATATGTGTAGGGCTGAATACTGTACTCCTCTGCCCTGTTGTCAAATCCTCCAAAATCGACCAGAGTTTGTAGGATTCTGCATGATTGAGGAAGGCAGAGCTAGCATCTTCTGTTGAACATCTCTGGAGAGCTGGGACAAACGTGCCATTGGTTTTCTGTGTAATGCTGAATGTATTAATGGATGTACATGTAGGAAGGTTCCTTGGAAATTGTCTGGGGACTTACCATTGATGGTTTGATCTCCTCATTTTTTTAGACACCGGGCGTCAAAGTTCCCACCAATCACAAGATGCTGTTTCGGATGGCCAACAATGAGGCAGTTGCCAGTGATGACAACATCAACCCTATGAAGCAGCAGGATTCACCAAGGTAGCTGACTTCCAAAAAAATTTATTGAAAAAAAATAAACAAATCCAATAATGCAAAACAAAATCAAACATAATAAACACGCCCACTTCTCAAACATCAGTTGTTGATAACATTTGAGGTACTGCACACAGATGCCTGTTTCCAGGCAAAAGCCTGATTCTACCC